CATGTTTATTGGCCATCGAATGCTGACTGCTGGGAGGAAATGTGGAAAACGAGAGGTTGAGGGATGGACTGCAAGTGCTGGAATCCTGAGGACAGAGTATTTCGCACTGCAACATAGCACCACCCCACACCCCCATCAGAAGACTCAAGGAACATCAAGATGGGCTGAAGTACAAGAAAGCTTTTGGGAGAAAAAACATTGTCCTCCTGGGGGGATTGGGAGTCAGCAATTCATGAAGACTGAACATGATTAGAAGACCTGGATCACAGAGGGTGGGATGGCAGGGGTGACCAGAAGGTGTGGCCAAAAAAATCCAGATGGCCTCTACAACAGTGCAATCAATGCTCCATGATGCACATAAAAACAAGTGAAGCTTTGATCACACCATCGTGGCCACCATGTAGACTTTTTTTTTTAACCACACCTTGTGGATGCCAGGATGGCAAAAGTAGGGAGAATGAAAACACATGCTGATTACAGATGGATCATAGCATCTTCCATGAAGTTCTGGGAATGAGGCAGGTCAACTGCACAGTAGAAAATTCATTAAGAAGATGCCTTGGTTGGATCTTACCACCAAGTTGCAGTAAGAAATAAAAAGGATTTAAACCTTTCCCAACACTTTGTTGGTGTGCATCAGAGGAATCAGAGAATATTATAGGGGCTGGTAGGAACCAATAGCCAAGCAGTCATAAAAATCTAAAAATTAGGAACAGCGGAGTGAGCAAAGATATCCCTCAGGCCCTGCTGGTCAGGATCCTTTTCAGGTAAGAGGCACCAATGAGCAGGAGCTCCATGCAGAGAGTGGGTATAGCAACCCTTAAGTATTTGTCCTGGAAGCTAATACGTAAATTGGCCTTCATCAATTTCATGCTCATGGGATGTGTTGCAACAACTCCCAGAATTCCCAGCCAGGAGATGTGGAACTGATTTAAGGCAGGAGTTCATATCGAAGTGCATACAAAGAACAGGGTTTGGGGAGGATACACATGCTTGCCCTGCAGGAGATAGAAAGAAAGAAAGACAGGAGCAAAGGCATAGAGCTCTCCCTTGTTTGTGGCTGCTTCAGCCCGTTTTGATACAAGTTTTGTGTTTTAGTCATCAGAAACAGCTATGGGGAGGGGGAGTCGAAAGGGAGAGGTGGGCAAAGAAAAGTGAAGATGCATTTGGGAAGGGGAGAGGGAGACCCCAAGCACTGTGTCATAAATTATAGTCTTCCCGCAACTAAATAAACAAGTTTGGAAAGCGCTTTCTATTCCGGGAGCGAGGCACGCTAATTCTGAGGAGGCATTTGCCCCCCAGCCCTTCTTAGGCGCCTAATCTTATCAATTCAGCCCTCTCCTGCTTTCTCCTTTGAACACCGTGCGGGCAAACGGGGGGAGGGGGGGGGTTCAACGGCAGGAACAAGACAATGCGCGCTCCTGCATCCCTAGCTGAATTCGCAAGGAGAGGAGAGATGAACGAAGCGCCGCGGGAGAGACCCCAAACGATCCTCTATGGCTGCTGTAACGAGGAGTGGAGGAGGAGAATCGGTGGAAATTTAACAAAGGACCCGCAACCTCGGATCGGGCACTCCAAGTATTTCTTCGGAATATTCCGGGAGGCTGGAAATGAAACGGTCCCCAAGGGGATTCATCGCGGGAATTGACGGGCTCCTATCTCAAGCCCTGGAAATAAAGGGGGTCTTGTGTAGCCAGAGGAAGAGGCCAAGACACAAAGAGTTTGAGAGATCACCTGACTTAGCAGGTCTAGAAAGCGATGCCCATTTCGGTGACCATCAAGCCCAACGGGGGAAACCTTTGTGCCAGTTTCTGGAAAGTCTGGCGGGGGCGGAGGGAGGGAGAGCAATCTTTAGATTATGTGTTTGAGGCCGAATAAAAATGCAGACGGAGCAAATGCAAATGTCATTCGGCTCGCTTTCATTGTCAAGAAGGACACACGGGGCTGAAACGCTGCGCGCCACATCGCCCCCTCCTCTCCCTTTCCTTCA